CAGCCCAGGAGAAAAAAAGCTCCTCCTGTTTCTAAACAAGCTTATTCCTCAGGACATGATCTCAGAAAGACATACTGCCTGCCAACTAGTAGGAAAAAGGACAAAAGGAGGACCTTTTGCTTCCACAAGGTCATCCAGGAAGCCCAAACATACACTCTGGAGTTTTGGCTGGCAGAAGAACCTCCTACATGGCTTGCAGTCACAGCAGAAAGGACAAGAGAGCACTGTGAGTTCTATCAACAGGTTTTTAGCCTAGTCTGTGAACTGTAGAAACTCAATACTGCTAGAGGGAATTCCATTAGATCAAGATGGACCTCAACACCTCTTGTGTCAGATCTCAATAGATTCTCTTCTTAGTGCACATTAATGCTAAAGGTAAAAAAAACCAACCCAGGCACAACAAAAGAGGTTAATTATATTCCACACACCTGGTGGATTTACTGATCAGCTTCTTATCTGACCTCAGTTTACTCCGTCTTGATTCACAACAGTGTTTCTCCCAATAAACTGTGAGGTGTAGATGGCATAAAACATGACATAACACATGACAAGTGCTACGGCTATACAGCCCACGAAAACACAGGAGCAGGACAGCCACACCTGCGAAAGCTCTGATCCAGTGCACCACAGTGACAAAGCAGAATACGAGGAAGAACTAACGCTACAAGAAGGAATTAGAAACCCAACAGCACCTAGAAAAGAACTGGCAGAAGGTGATCAATCTAACTCAAGCCATGTGGATAACGGGCAGATTGACAAGAAAACTACTCCATGGGTTAAAAGTTACCCCAGAAGGTCAATGACTGAAAATATTTGGAGAAAGGTTGTTCCATTCAAACATTAAAAGACCAGTAAGGCTTAAGACAGTTTTCCTCTTATGTTTTTCTACTAGTATTTACATCCCTGAAGAAAACCAAGTGCAGTGATAAAAGCCAGGAGGGAACTAGTTACAAAATAAGGTGTCTAACGATCAACAGCTTTGGTTCTGCTTTAAACTGCTGCCATCTCCTGGTCCTGCTCTTCATCACCAGGGCTCAGTACCTGCAATGCTCCAAGGATGAGCAGTCATTAGGTCTGATTCACAAATGTCAGAACAAGACAGTATCAAGAAAAAGGAAAAAAAAAAGTTTGTTCAAGACTTCAGAGATCCTCTGGCCGGCAGTAGGTGTATAACAGACCTACCTTGCTCACCCCACTTATCTACGGCTGTTGCTGGGTGTGAACGGTGTTCTGCAGCAATCTGCCATCCTGGGTATGAGCAGGAGTACTCAAAAATCCTGAGATGTCATACTGAAATTGTATTTTGTTAGAACACGAGGATTATGGGAGGACACGCTTTCCAAGTTGCACTATACCAAAGCAAGAAAATCCCTGAGGACCGAGAGTAAGTCCAGCACCACACGGACAGCCCAAAGCAGCCAGGCCTTAGCTTTATATTCATCCAGACCTGGTTCTGCTGAGCCTCACGCAAGGAAACGCACAGAAAAAAAGGAGAAGAGTTTGCCCTAAGACAGCTCTGGGAAGAAATGAGGGTTCCCTCTATGGATCCCAAGCGACAAAGGGCAGCCACAAGCACTTTAGGCCCATCTGTAAAACAAGATTAAAGCCTCCGTCCACCATCAAACTCCTGCAGTGTAACCACCCAGTAACTGAACCATGCCCTTGCACGCATTATTGGCCCACGGCCTACACAAGGGAAGGCATCTCAGATAACTCAGCTGAAACGCAGTAAGCCACCAACCCATCTGGTAACTTGCCATATACATCCATACCCATACACATGCAATTAGAAGTTTGAATTCCTTCCTCCAAGAGGAACTGCAAAGCTACCAGAGATTTTTCAGGAAAAGCCAGTGACCTGCCAGACTCGGGTGTCAGTCCTTTAATCACAACTACAGCCAGCTCACCTGCAAGGGCGCAATCCTATGCCCGTTCAAAAGATCACTGTATTTGAACGAAGGCCAGATCCTGACAACAAAAAGCCCAGATAAAGGGGGAAAGCACCTTGGCCGTGCACCTACGGCACCGCAACAGGACTTCAAAGCAGTGCCCTGAACTTCTCCAGTTTCTGTTCACATGATTCCATAATAATAAGTTATTAGTCCAAAAACATGAAAAAAAAAAACCCTCAAACCCCAAATGTTTCTGACAAGGTCACCTCCAACTCCATCAGCCATCGTTATGATGAGGCGATGAGCTGACAGAAACACGCACCCTGATCTCTGCACAACAAGGCAATTAGCAAGCCGCAGATGGAGTTGCTACTCTACCCAGCACCCAGCTAGAGTGCTTAGTGCTTGCTCATGTGCTAGAGGCAGCCAATTACAAAACCATAATAAAACCCATCTTGGAGACTATTTTTCAACGGGAGTTTTTTAGCCCCTGCTCAAAATCCTCATTTCTCAGAAGAGAGAAAAAGTGTGGATTTCCTGCCTACACAACTCGGCTTCATTAAGCGTTTAATGTTGCCGACTTCCACAAGGAAGGTGAAACATTTATAATACAAATATGAATGAGTTTAGCTAACAGGTTGCAATGATTGCAATGCACCATTTACAGAGGAATAGGCCATAAGGATAAATCCACCTGTATCATTCTTTTCAGTAATCTTTCTTTTGATAGCCGATACTGATACATAGATTTTACCGAAAAATTGCTTTCAGACAGCACTGCATTCCACCTGATCACGAAGAAATACCTTAAGAAATAGCAGCTTGCACACAAATATAACTTATCTGGCAATCATAGCTCCTGGTCATCAGGATCTCCCACTGGAGTTTCACATGGAGAAAGCAGCAATGAGCTAGATGGTTTGACTAGGAAGACAAACCTTAATTAGAGGTGGATAGCTCCTGTACTTTTAAGGGAATCACTGTGCCACAAAGGCATGAAATTCAAAGGCGACCAAAGCAATAAACTGAACTAGAAGGAATGTCTGTATCTACTAAAAACAGTAACCAGATTAAATATTGCATTAAGTCAGCAGCTGTAAGAGCCCCAAACCTGGTCAAATATCTTCCCATGCACCCTTAAAAAGCAAGAATATAACATTCTGTCTACAGCAAAACCTGATAAACCAGTACATGGAACACCAGCCACGTGATGCTCCCAAAGCCTGCAGATCTGAAAACACACCACAGGCCTCTCCTCTTCATCACTCCTCTGAACTGCATTCTCCTGCTGTGAACCCTCAGCTTCGGGAAGAGCAGGTGAGTACAACATGAGGCAGGTACTGTGATCCCGCACAGCTCCAGCAGCTGGAGAGCTGCAAGCAACTGCAGCAACTGCAAAGGTTTTGCTGTCCCAGCCCACCCTCAGTACCATCAAGGAGCTCATTAGTTGTACTGATGGTTTATTAGGAATCCCTATGCTACTTTTGGTTGTTTATTTAACAAAGGGAGCATACACCGCCCTTTGGTATTTCTCCTCTTCTCTCCATCCATTTAAGTCACTATTAAGTACTTTTGGAACAGACATCAGTGTTCTCCTAACAGCCAACGGCTCATTTACCAAAACAGTCAGTTCCATAGAGATCCACAAGCAGAAAGGGCAACCAAAACCTTAATTTCTCCTGAAGTACCACATCTTTTCAGCCTGAGCTCTTCAACTCATATCCATGCAGCTGTAATCAGCAGAAGAAAATTAAAGGGTTGGAACCAAGGCTAGGAGAAGAGCAGGCTACATCCCTGTGCACAGCACACTCCACCGTTGCCCGTGAGCTAGTGAATGCCAGGGGCCAGCATTTAAGTGGAACTAAAGCAGCCCAATCAAGTACTTTCAGAAGCTGCAAGGAACACCCTCAACATTAAATTAAAAAAGTAGCTGTTCCCCTATATGCCTCAAAATTGCCTAGACAGAGAGAGCAACTTCAAGTAGTCATCAATATTCATGCAGAAACCTAGTATAAAAAAAATAATCAGGGAGGCATACAGAGGGAACAGCTTGTAAAAAAAGCCAAGTAGCAGAGGCAACAGGGCCTCTACCTTCTGACAGGCACCACCGCTCACAGACTCATGCCTGTGAAAGTCAGACACCTCTAGCTTCACTGTACCTCGAAAGCCGTAAGAAAAGCAATTAGCAGCCTTCCCTCTCCTACTAAAGGGGATGGTACCTCACCACCTCCACTTATTTATCCAAACCTGCCCAAAGACAGCTGCCACGGGACAGCAATATGCTCTATATGGTTTGGTTCGTGCACCACAGAAAGAGCTGTTAGACCTAATAACGTGAAATTATGTCTTTAAGCACAGTCAAATTAGAACTGCGCTCTAAAAGAGCTAGAAAAGTAGCAATCACACCCTTAAACTCTCAGTTAAACTGAGATGCAGAAGTTTTCTTTCCTGCTAGGAGTTACAATATCAGTATGCTCACTGGATTCCAGTATATCACAGGAAAAAATATGGAATGAAAGGATTATGCAGCGGGGAACTTCAATCCATTGGCCACCATCTTTTAGTTGCAAAGTAATAGTGGAAGATTCCTGGTGCGGAAACGGACCCTTCATCAACTGTGATAAAATACTGATTTAGTAGGTAATTTACTCCTGTGAAATTCTTGGTCTTGATCTCCACCTCTGCTCTGATGACTCATTTAACTTTATTAAAAACATAAGCATTGATTTTCTCCACTCATTACAGGCCAGTGGATTTATCTGCCTTAGTGAATGAATTAGTCCAACCTCTTACTCCAAGAAAAGCCAAAGCCTGCAGGAAAGCAATAGCTACAAGCTGTCACCAAGGCAGCAGCATCACATATTTCTTGCACTTCTGACTCACCTGACAAGGAAGTTAAGCTGTTGCTGCAGCACTCAAGACATGCGAAACAGGCAAAAGCCCAAACAGACCTAAGACTAGAAGGCATTTCCAGTTTTCTGAGGCAACAAGGGATCTCTAACCAATGCAATCATCATGGTGAACCAGTTGTAATTAAAAAGCCTTCATGTTTCTGGTTATCTGCCCATTACAAAGTCAAGCAATGCACTGGAAGGACATATACGTTACCATGGGATTGGAGTCTGCAATCAGGTCACGCAGAGAATCCAGAAATCCTTGGTCCTCCACCATCTGGGCATTGATGTCATGCAGCTTTGCCACACAGACAGCCGCAGTCTTTCGTACGTAAGGGTCTTCATCCTTCAGACACTTGCGAAGAGGCTCACACAAATACTCTGTGATCTTGTCCACCCTGATGCATCCCATTGTACGGACAGCCAGAGCACGGATGAGAGGGTTTGGGTCTTCACAGTCCTGAAATGGGACAGAACGTGCAGTGAACAAATCTACTCCACTAGCGGCTGATACCTTCCCTGCAGCCAGGATCAGGCTGTTCTTTAAAGCAAAAAGCATTCTCTCCGATTACATGCTACAAAGAAGAAATTCTTTCAGATCAGGGATAAAAGGTGGAGCTTTCTGGTTCACAGAAACATTCTACACCATCTCAAGGCGTTTTCACGCTATGATGGCTTGTAAAATTGTGATCTCCGTGTCCCTTGGTTCTCCCAGGCAAAAGCTTCTTTCAACATCATCTAGCAGCTACAGCTAAGCTAGAGAGGCCACCCTCATCACCCAAAAGCTAGCCACAGGTAACTTTAAAGTAATATACTCGTTTCCAGTCTTACTGGTTTAAAGCAGCAAGAGAATATAATGGGAAAAGTCAACAACTAAACACAATGCAACAGTCATCAAGGCCTCTCTCTCACAGGCCATTGGTTCTAGGCACAAGCATCCCTTAAGCTTGCAACACGTGAAGCGCTAAGCAAATGCTAGTCTAGAGGTGCTTTCCTGATGAGGAAAAAGAAAAAGCAGAAGGCGATATAATACTTCAAGACTACATAATTTTCCATACATTCAATCCATCTACATCTCTGAGCAACACTCCTCCAAAATCGGCCTATGCAAGGATGGCTGCAGAACGACCTACAAAAGCGTAAGGTACATTTACCTTCCACTCTTTAAATTTCCTACAGCTGAAAACACACCTGAATGCATCACTTCTAAAGCAAGTGAGAGCAGTGACACATCTCACCAGTGCATTCACCCCTTGAATGTGAACCGTGCGTGACGCGCTGAGCTAGGGCAGACCTTCTCTTTAGGTCAAGACCTTCTCTTTACTAACCCTTGTCCCTCAACTTGCCAAAAGGGACAGCAGACATTTCCTTGCATGGAAAAGCATGAAACTGGAAAATACCACATTTATTTGTTAGTCTTCTCTAACAGAATTACACTTTAAAGATAACACAGACAACAATATTCTTTCCAGACCGGAAGAGAGTGACATGTTCCCTGGCCAGAAGAGCAGAGCTGCTCTCAGCCTAGGTCTTCTCACCTCTTTCAGCCTCAGGCACCACAACAGAAACTTAAAACATGATCAGATTCCCCAGTGTCTCAGATTTTATAATACTCTAGGAGGAGTCCCAAATTTTTTCTAAGCACCAGATTTTAATTTAAAGTGGGACTGAAATAACATTTCCTAGATAAGGAGAGGCAACTTGGCAATAGAATTAAAGGCAAGACAGCGCTCAGGCTGTTATTTTTTCCAGTGAACTGTCTTTCAGTTTCACCAGAGATACAGGTTTTCCACAGAGAGCACAGCCAAAACATTCAAACAAGAAGTAGACACCCATATATCAGAGATACTACAAAGGCTGGAAGATGAACAATATGAAATCTGTTACCCAACACCAGAAGTTGGTCTTTAACGACAATCAGTCAAAAAATGGACACAGCTTTCCCTGGCGCAGGCTCTCTCATAACCACTTACAGGGGTGCTGAAGTCATGTCCTTGGCAGTGACTAGCAGCAGCAAGTGAGAGAGACGGCCCAGACCTATGGGGTTCAGCATGCTCCTCTGCAAGCACCCCCAGCCCAGGGACAGGGATAAACAGCAGCTCACAGACACAGGAGACATGGTGACAGCCACTGTGCTGGACTGTTTTCTGATGAGCCAGGGGAGCAAGATACCTTCACAAAGCTGTTGACAGCCATGATGGCCATATCGGGCTGACTTTTGGCATAGTTCATCAGGTACAGGTAGACCAGCTTCTTCAGCTCCAGGTTGTCGGTCTGCATGCAGTTCACCACATCAGGAAAGAGCGAGCTGGAGAGACAACAGGAAGCAAGAACAGAGACAAAGCGGTGAGACTGCAGGGTGTGCAAAGGGGACAGGAACTTACCAAGGAAGCCAGGAAAAACAGAGCTCCGCTTTAAGCGGCCTGCTGTCTAACGAGAGGTCAACTTCCCTCTGAAAACAGTTTGCAATGGCTTTTATAATAATCATTTAATCTCTTCCAGGGCTTTAACATAGGTCGGTTCTGGAACACATGAAAATTAACGCAAGTTCCTAAAGGTGTTTTAACTGGGGAGTTCACCAAACAAGAAAATTCTACCATGCCAGGCCTGGAAACCAACCCACAAGAAAAAGAAAACTCACTTAAAAAGGTTTTGGTAATGCAGGACACTTAAAGAACCTGCCAAATTTCAGACTAGTAAACGCTAGAGCAATTAGGATCTTAAATGCTGACAAGCTGAGTTTCACTCAAATCTCAAGCAGCAATCTGTAGAAGCTGCGGGAAGTTACACAAAGATATCTGCAGCTCCCGGGTACGCTGTAGGGATCTAAAGGTGAAGGGCAAGTGCTGTTGGCCCAAAAGAACAGTTTTTCTTCCTTCCAGTTTATCTGTTCCTTCATTCCTCGATGAAGTCATGATGCTACATTTGCAACCTTATACTAATTTCCGTGGCAACAGACCACACTGCCACAAATCCAGGAGTACCGCGACTTTAGGGCAGACTCCAGCAACAGGAAAAGCTGGAAGGGAGAAAGTATTCACTCAAGCAAGTTTTCCTCCTTGCCTGCAAGACAGAAAAAAGTACTGGGGACAGTGCTGCAGAAGGTAAATGACCACGTCCTGTAGTCGCTATGAGGAAAAAGTTCAATTTAAAAAATCACTCATTTTAAGATGCAGCTTAAATTTATACTGGGACAAGCACAGCTAAAACACACTCTTGGAACTACCTTTCCAACACTAAACCCCAGGCTAGCAGGCAGTGAGAAAACATCATATAGAGCAACATGCAAAACGGCTGAATTCTGGATGGGTTTCCAAACAAAAAGGGCTATTGGCACCCAGCTAAACCATCACTGAACACGGTTGTTTCTTTTGCTCTCAGGAACAGGAAGGAGCTTGAGAAACCTGTGACTCAAGCACAACCCAGGCAAGGACGCAGCCAGCCTCAGGTGACAAACTCAGAGTGGTCCCACGGAGATGTGGGCCACTACACCCGACTGAGTCCCAGGACAACCAGAGCTGCTACAGGTGCAAGAAAAGTTCCTTTTACCTGACATCCTTCCCCACAGTCATGGCTGCAATAACCTTCTTCACAGCTTCTTTCCTCTTCTCTTTCTTTTCATTATTGAGTTCAGCCTTCAGTTCAAAAATCTCTCCTGGCAGAAGACAAAACAATTGAGCCTCTTGGGAGAAGAGCAGGGTCTCGCTTTAGGGATAGTTCAAGAGTGACTTTTAACTTTCCCGGCCTGTTGGTACCATAAAACGGGTACAGCCGCACGTGGAAGCTGGCAGACCTTATGGGGAACACGCTTCCATGAGAAGCAAAGCCACAACGCTCAAGCGAATGATATGGGCTACACCTTGCTCACAAAGCAGCAGTTAACAAGAACCACGCTGCACGTCGCAGCTCTCCCACTTCTAGAACATTCAATCACATCCCTGTAGCGTCTGTTTCTCAGAGGCAACTATTACATAACTGGGACGAAAAGATATTTGAAGAGACCAGATTCGTGCCTGCAAGAAAAAACTAACTCCGCTCGGAATTCTGCCCAGACTCGTTAACTTTTGCTCATCATCGCCTGCTTCCTGCGAACGCAATGAGAAAACAGCAGACTGTAGGGCAGCCCAAGTGCTGTGGTAGACAGTGGCAGAAATGGGAAAGCACCAATTTAGCCCAGTGGATCCAAGCTAGAAAGACAGAGCTACTACTAACAAAAGCAGCAGGTAACACAGGTCACCTGGATTCCAAGGATGCCAAAGCAGCCTTTTCCATGACACTAATTCTTCCAGATATTACTGTGTGGAAAGTCAGTTCAGGCTGGATCAGAAAAGCGGCAAAGAAAGTTTGCAAAATAAAGCAACACATGCAAAAGACCTCTCAATCAGGCCTGTCCCAGACAGAGCAAGTGGTGCGAGAAGGATAACGATCCTGACCGACAGGCAGCTTTCCCCAGGAAGGACAGTGAGCGGTACATTCCCACTGGGCACCACAGGCTGAGGACACGTTGCAAATATCAAACTATCTCTGACAAAATCCATTCTAGCCCCTAAGCTTCGATTCCTACGCACCAACGCCACTTTGTCAGATCAAAAGCACTAATTACTGAAGAGCCTGACACAAAGACTAACAGGTACTTCAAAGAACAAGAGAAGTTACAGTTCTGAAGAGTACAGTGCAGTGACTGCTTGTCATAGTTCCTGCCTGAGAAAGAGATGCTGGCATTACTCACGCTGAGATCGTGCCCCCGAGCCGGGCTGCGCCAGCAGCAGCGTGCTCACCAGAGCTCAGAGGCTGCAGGCTGGCCTCTTGCAGCCTTCCCAGGAAAACCTGCCTTTAGGACCAAACTTACAGATACGAGTTGTTCCTTAGAAAGATGTGAACTGCATTTGTTTAATTTATGAGCTCATTCTGAAGCTTAATGAAACAAATCGATCCACACTGTAGGTTTTTTCACTGCAAACATTAATCGGAAACATTCAGCCACTCTGAAAAGGAGAGGTTAACACGAACCATTTTTCACATCTGCTGGAGAAGGATGAGCAACATCAGGCTTAAATTGCAGCCAGCAACAGCGTTTTGTTTAAGAACATACTAGAAAATAAAGTCTGCCTGGGACATTTTCAGCAGAACAAGCCCTGCTCTGGAACAGGTGAATGGATAAAATGCCCCTGAAGCTCCTTTCCAGACTTCCCATTTTTAAGGGCAGCAGTTTGTCCTGAGATGAGGTGACCACCACACCTACAGTAAAGCCAAGGGCAAGTCAAACGGAGCCCTGCTCCTTGGAGGAAATGGCAATAGGAAAGGCAACAGCTTGATGTAGAGATACACACTTATACCTCAAACAGTAGATGTCTCTCAGTCACCTTAATCCTGTGACATCCAAAGGAACAACCATCCTCAGTCTTGAACTTGTTAGCCCGTAACTAAAGCTTTGTCTCTGACCAGATCTGCACTCAAATCCCAATGTTTTGTTCTCTGATACACGAAAAAGGAGCAATTTGGGTCATTTCATATTACAGGATTTTGTGATGCATATCAGCTTTGTCTTTTGTCACCACGTGACCTACTTCCGAAGTTTCTCCCTGGATGATTAAGATGAGAAACAGGGACAGAGCTAACAGAAAAGCACAAGTTCTTCTGCATGCAGTAAAAAAAGCTCTGTAAAAATAGCTACCCACCACCTCCAATCCACTGCACCAGCTTAACACTAACCTTTTTTATTGGTCGTGAAGTATTTGGAGTCCGTCATGGTTCCAGCTCCTTAAAACACCTGAGAATAATAATAATAATAAAAGAACAAGTAGTCAAACAGCATTCGGAGCTGACAACACCCAGTTTGCGAGGCAGGAACTCGAAGAAAGGACGGTTGGTGAGCGCGTAACGTAAGGGAAGGCGCAAATGCTTCACATCCACAGGCACAAGTTTCACAATCCTCATTCTGCACCTGCTGCTGATGTTACTTGGCAAACCCAGGGCTGGAAAGGGCTCAGATGAACAGAGGCAGTGAAAGCACAACAGCCTGAGGCGGGCAGGCTGGGAAAGCAGCGGTGCGCAGCCCAGCTTTTTAAACTCCCCGTCTCAGAAGGGAAAAGGCAGGTTTTAACTCCTTACAATCAGATCTTGCACGTTCTGCAGCTGCTTTCCCCCGGGTACACAATTTCGTTTTCCAAAAAAAAGCACTGCACATTTAATATCTCGCCTGGAAGCGAGAAGTCCGGCTTTCAGACAAAGGAAACTGTCAACTCCCCCTAACGATACGTTCCTGTGCTGCATCTTGATGGAAGGAACAATTAACCCTACTTGCAATACCCACCCCGAGGCTCTTGCATTTCTTTCCCTTCTTTTGTTCCCGGGAGATGCAAAGCAGGGGGTTTTTAAAAAAGAAAAGCCATTGATTTTCAGTTCTCTCAAGCCTGAAATTGAAACCTTTCCCTGCCAAGGTCTGACATCCCACCTCTGACACACACACACGAGCTCATTGCTTGGCCAGCAAGTGCCTCGCAGAGCCGCGAGAATGGTCTCACCAGCACCCTTCTTGCTCCACAGAACCAAATTATTAAAACCTTAGAATACAGGGGTTGCCCAAACATATGTGGATATCCACAATTTTATTCTTACAACTGCCAGCTCTGTGACAAAGATGACTCAAACAATTTTCAAGTAGTGGTTGAAAAACAAGCACAGGAGTGGGCAGTTTTACTGGTTTTGATGAAACAGTCTGCCTCAGTGCTAAGAACCTATGACCCTAAAACCATCCCAAAACAACAGCTTTCCTACCTCTTCCCTTCTTTTTCTATTTTTTCTACCCAGTTCCCCTTGCCTTGCACATACTTCCACGACCTTAAATGCTACCAGCAAAGCAGCAAGTCATCTGTTCCCCAAATGCTGCTCTCTTGCCTCTAAACCTCGAAGGTCTTGCTGGCTCAGCAACAAAAGGACAAGCTTCACTTTGAACTCCAAGACACTGCCCAGCAGCAGGACCAGCTTGCTGTTTCTTAACACTTTCCTTCCTCATTCCTTAACCACCCTGACACCACCACCGTTCTTATTTCCCCTAGCCACTTTGATCAATTTAATACCTCAGCAGTCAAACTCCCAGCAGCAGCTGAGGGCTAACGCCACAATTTCCACCCCCTTCAGCGTCCTCAACAGCACGGCAGCGCAGAGCAGTCGCAACCTTGTCCAACTGCCAAGCAACCAGATGAGAAACAACTTGTTGCTTAGCCCAGCTCCCCAGAGCTCCTGCCTGCCCCGTGCCTGCCTGGTTCCTGCCTCATCCCAGCGAGGCAGCATTACTGGGTTTGGTCTGACGTTCCTTTCGGCTCCTGCCAAGCTGGAGAGCAAACTATGCCTGGGGACAGCTCTGGAAGCGCGTTCCTCCTACAGAAGAGGATTGCTCTCCCTCCAAAACAGGGGCTGGGCAAGCCGCAGGACCCACAGCATTGCAATCTTTCCAGCAAAGAGAAAATCCCAGCATCACAAATGCAGCAGCCGCTGTGGGTCTTGGTTTATTACTAAAAACACAGTCCATGTTCCGCTGCGATGTTATTGCTGACACAATCCTTTGGATTTCAGCCCTGCTTAAAAGAGGACTTAAATGTTTTCCTCTACAAGAGTAATTTGGCACAGTGCCATGCAAAAGGCACTGAACACAGCCTTGCTGTTCTTTGTTTGCATTCTATGTGGATTTGTCTACATGGGTCACACCTCCCAGCTGAGCTAGTCGGGTATTGTTTTAACAGTCGCCAGAACAGCAGATTATAGAGAAAATCCAGGAGATAAAAAAAACCCACACCACCATACACATCATCCCAGTTGCATAAAGCTACACAGAGGAAGAAACCTGGATGAATTTCAGAGATTATCTTTAACCCCAAAAGCGGGCCATTCTGCTGTTTTTCTAACTTCAGATCACACACTTGGAAACAGGAAGAATTCTAGAAACACTCAGGCAAGGCTAAGCACAGCACACGTCCTTACAAGCTGTTTTGACAGACGTAAACGAAATCTGACTTAGATCAAAAACTACCACATTCCAAGTGCAACAAAGGAATTTTTCTCAAGAGCGCAGATTTTTGCTTCGTGTACGCCAGAGCTTGCTTTGCACGTTGTTCCGAGCCAGCTTGCTAGCAGTACTATTACCTCACCTGCTAAGCAAACTCAGCACGGTTTACAGCAAGTCCTAGATGAAGGCCAAAAACAAAATAGCCCAGCTATACAAACAGCAATGTTTTAAATAACTCAAGAAAATGCCAGCTTCTCATACACAAATCTAAATCGAAGCAAGCCAAGAAATTACGACAACATCATAAGCATCCTTGTATTTTTTAGAGGAAAATCTACAACAGATTGCCCCCTCCTTACTGTCATTTTGGGTCCAGCATTTGCTAAGGTGGAAACAGATAAGAGGGATTCCAGCTGACAGCAAAAGGCTCCTGTTCCAACCCCAGCAAACAAGAGGAGATGAAATAGAGAAATTTCTCCAGAAGCTCTGGCAATGCTTAATGCTATAAGCATTAGCTTGACATTTAAATGTAGACTGAACCAAAAATATGATTAAACGAAAAGACTAAGGAAACATCATAACCATAAAGATAAGGCTCCTCAGCCGAAACCCACACGTTTCTGTATCCTGTGTCTGACCACACCTGCTCTGCCCCACACGTGACTCCAACGACAGCCTGACCAGCTCCCACCACTGGTTTCACACAGGTTTAAACAGGAAGGTGGCAGGTTTAAGGCCTCAGTATTGATCCAAGCTCCTCAGCATTGAAACAATCCTGTGTTGAACCCCCAAACCCCTAAAGTGATCCCTGGTTTAACCTGGCTTGCGCTCCAGCTGGTGCCACCACCTCTTATCTGCACCCATTTCACCTGCAAAGCCTCTCGAGCAGCCCCGCAACAGCCCAAGCACAGCTCAGGGCCACCAGAGCATCAGGAAACTACATGGAGCGGCCAGACACGGATGGCAAAGGGAAAGCACCGCCTCGGCTTCCAAAACCTGCACCCCTAATGGCACATCCTGGGGGAAGGTAATTTGTTCCCATCCTGGGCGGCAAACGCCCCTTTGGTGCTCCCCACCCCACTCTCAAACGCCCTGGGGTTCCCATCACCTCCTCGCTCCTCAGACCCATCCCCAGCTCTGCCACCAGCGCCCCCACCCCCTCCCTGCCTCCAGCCTCAACCCACCGCAGGACTCGCAGCTCCTCCACCACCCACCCTCCTCCCAGGCACCCCCAACTCCCTCAAACCCTCTGCTCACCAGTCTGCCCCCTTCAGCAGCATCCCCCAGACCTC